TTTACACGACGTTGCTAAACAAACTATGGCATTGTTTGGCTCTTGTAGTTTTTCTTGGCACATTTTACGTTCCATAGTTTGCTATTGCATGAGTACAACAACTAAAAAACCCGATTTCGGTTTCAGCGATCTTTTTCGTCCTTTCTTTCTTCCTTCCTTGTTTTGCTACAAACAAGTCACTTTTAACCAGCATATTTGAAGGTGGAGCTATGGGTTATAATTGTGACTAGGTTCTTTGCGCTGTATAAAATGGCTTGTCCCTGCTCGCCACCAAGTAGCCCTGGAACGGGCTCATGCGGTGCTGATGCGATCAAACGAGCCAGACCCAAATATTGTTCCGACCGACGACAACGTCGTCTACCGACCAGCCAATTAGCGAATGAGTCGCCGGTGACCTTCTTAGTCCCTTCCTCAGCAAACTTAAAGCACCGGTTTGCAGTCGCATTTTGTGGTTTTGTCTCTTGCGCGTCACCGGCGGTTTCAAAGATGGTTCCATTCCTTTACAGTTTGACCTGGCTGCTTTCTGCCTTATTGCCCGAGTCGATTCACTGTCTTTTAATGTAATTCAAGATGTATGTGTTCCAACAGGCTCTCTAATGTTAGCATTGGTGAACTTATTTCCTTATTGTGTTTTAGTTGCCTTTCAAGGACAGCGAAGTTTACAGTCGACTATTTCATATACCTGTGATCTACCCACTTAGCTTTTCGACTACATCAAAGAACTGCACTATGCAAACACTGGCCACTGAACGTACATTACTTAAGAATGTGTTACTTATCCAGAGAAAGTAAATGTTGTTTGTAGGGCAAATTACACTACACTTTAAAATGTCAAGTGACTGGGGTTGATACATCCATAACTATAAAATCAATGTTATTGTGCAAAAAAAAAAAAAAAAAAAAACATGCAACCAAACTTACTTGTTGTTGTTACTGATGTTGTTGTTGTTGCTTCTGTTGTTGGTGCTGTTGTTGCTGTGGCTGGTGGTGTTGCAGCTGAAGGGAAAATAATAAAACAATGTTGACTCTCTGAGCAAACAAATCAATCATTATCTGATTGTGTATGTTTATAACAGATGAGTACAATCAAATATATATATATATATATATATATATATATATATATATATATATATATATATATATATATATAAATCAATGTTTGTGTTTTTATTTGCTCCCTATAGACTCAGAAACTACTGAACCGATTTAGCTGAAATTTTCAGGATATGTTTGTTTTGATACCGGATTTTGAACCATCGTGGTTTGAAATTCAACCTGTCACTGTTAGAGATAGGTGACCACATATTAAGCCATAATATTCGAAACTAATATTTATAACTTTAGTGATTTCTAATTATAGCCACGTTAGTAATTGCGCATGCGCCGCCGTAGTCAGAACGCAAGGCTTCCGCCATTTGCCGGCGAGTTACGTGCAGCCAACGCCTTCTCTAATACATAGAGTAGGACGTGGTACATTAAACAAGACTATCTCTATATTTGCCACAATAACCATATTAAACAAGATTTTTATTTTCTGTTTTTTTATTTAAACAACCTTCGATGGGGGTGGGGGGGGGGCAATCAAGGACTATCTCGACGTCGGCGCAGACATTGACTGCGACATTAACTTCATTAACCGTATTAGACACGTGCGATTTCTATTGTTGTGCCGTTTCATTAATATATCTGGAGTATCTGTCTACGAGAAAACAATTGCCTGCGGTTTTGAATTGTGTTTTAATCAGGACTCAGTAGTAGGGACACATATCTCTAATAGTTAAGTTCTCTTTTCGTTTATCCAATTAATTGGCTGCTTGGTTGAATGGTTAGAACACTGGGTTCCTGTGCGGGAGACCTGGGTTCGAATCCGCAGTAGTTAATACTTTTTTTTTTACCCCGGACTAAAATAATATCCTCATCTGCTCTGTCGTGGTGACAGCACTAGCCATGTTGCCTTAATATTTGGAAAAAAAAAAAAAGACAAGTAAATGGGTAAACCATTTGATAATTAAATTTGACCATTTCGCATACTTATGATTGCATTTTAAAACTTTCCGATTGCATGGTTACGCTGAAATTGTATAGATTTTCATTTATTTTCATTTAGATTTAGTTATTTCATCAGCGTTGGAATTTTAAGCTGTGCTGTTTATCATAGCGTTCATTTCCTAATTATGGTTTTTTTTTCCTGTGTTCATTTGCTTTTCAAAATTTTTTTTTTCTCCTAACTACTTTAATGAGGGAAAGAGTTGTCGGTGAATTTGGGGGGGGGGGGGGGTCAAACTATTTACTGAGAGAGCTTTAAGTCACAGTAACTGCTTTACCCACTTAAAGTAGCAGCAGCAGTAATAGTTGTGGTTGGGCTGTTACACCATAGTGCTCTCATGTAAAGACCGCCGGTAAGGTTATGGCGTTCTTCTGTCGGCAAGTGAAATTATACATCCTAACCTGACCAGTCTGGGGTGGGGATCAAAGACTATCTCAAATTACGCCACAGCAACGCGTGGCCGGGTACAGCTAGCTAAAATAATATTAACAACTTGCTTCCCATCCAATCCACATTTTAGCCGTGAAAATTGGCGTGCCTATCATTCTTCTCAGAAACATCAATCCGCCACGTCTTTGCAATGGTACCAGGCTTTCAGTGAAAAGGCTGATGCTCAATATCATCGAAGGTACAATTTTAAATGGGAAATTTAACGGCGAGAATATACTTTTGCCACGCATCCCAATGATTCCAACAGACATGCCATTTGACTTCAGACGCTTGCAGTTTCCGGTGCGACTCGCCTTTGCAATGACCATAAACAAATCACAGGGACAATCCCTACATATAGCTTCTAATTTATTTGTGTACGCGCCAGACGGAAGAGCAATGAGCATTGTTTACCCAAAGGCACTTCAGTAAACACTTTTTTAATGTTAAATTACCGGCACAATGATCAAGTATAATTACATTTTGTTAAAGCGATTTTCCTTTCAATTCACTTTCTATTGTAGCAACGCGTGCAGGGTTGTTTACAGCAATTAGCAAATGTGCTCATTTCGTAATTATGGTGTATTTTTCCTCTTTTCATTGCTTTTCACTAGGGTAATTTTTCCAACTACTTCGATGAAGGAGAAAGTAGTATGTGAACTGGGGGATGGGTGGTTACAATAAACTGTTTAAGTTACAGTAACTGCCTTACCCACTCAAAGTTTTATTAGCTGTGGTTTAGCTGTTGCACTGTACATCGCTAGCGTGAAGCGAAGACACATTTCTTTGTTCTCTATTTTCCATGTAGCCAAATTACGCCACAGCAACGCATGGCCAGGTACAGCTTATATATATATATATATATATATATATATATATATATATATATATATATATATATATGTGTGTGTGTGTGTGTGTGTGTGTGTATAATTTTAGCAGAGACAAAATCAAGGTTGCCTTTGAATGCTCTAGACAACAAAAAGAAATCACATGACCCGCACAAGCGCCACACAATAGTCGGTTATCAATCATTAAATGTATCAAGTCGACCAGTACAGCCAGCATCAGATGATTACCTCTGCATGTATTGTCACGGGAAACTATCAGTATGTTTACAAAGTTTAGCGGATGGAGTGAAAGTTCACAGCTAGAAATTAGGCCGAGAGTTAGGTTGTAACACAAATGGAAATCACGCTCAGCGCCAGGATAAAATAGTTTCCAAAGTGTGAAATACACGCAAAACGGTAACAATTGTAGGCAAGTTAATAGATACACAAATTTAGGAGTAGGCAAATTATCTGATGCAAGATGACTTTAAGAAATAAGAACAATATTCGTCATGGGAAAGGTAGCCTTTAGCAAGATGTAAACGTTTATCACCAATTTAAAAAAAAAATTGTCACTTGTAAGAAAAAGTGTGTTTAAGTATTATGTAGAACCTGTGTTGTTGTGTGTGAGTGAAACACAGACAATAAGCAGACAAGGTGAAAAATATTTACTCGCTACAGAGATTATTATTTTGTGTTTTTGTTTTCTTTCTGAGAGAACGCAAAGAATATCATGGAAGAAAAGAAAAACCATGAGTCAGTCCTCACTGTGACAGACGAAAGTGGGAAGCTGGATAGAACAATTAGACGTTGACATTCAATGGTCTTGGACACGTTATGAGAAGGAGTGGACTCGAGAACTTGGTGACATCTGGTAAGATTGATAGATAGAGATCAAGAGGAAGGCAAAGACAAAATAACCCGTAAGACCTAGCCAGATAGATTCGCGAGACAAAAACACTGAACGGATCCCTGATTCTGGTGATCGTGTGAGATGTCGACACGCGGCAGCCTATCTGATGACGATGATGATGTTATTAATGAATATGTAAACATATATCGTCACACACACAGAAAAACAGCAGCAAGTTATCAATGATTACCTGTACAGAGAAGGTTAAGCAAAGTCAGCAGCAAGTTATCAATGATTACCTGTACAGAGAAGGTTAAGCAAAGTCAGCAGCAAGTTATCAATGATTACCTGTACAGAGAAGGTTAAGCAAAGTCAACAGCATGTTATCAATGATTACCTGTACAGAGAAGGTTAAGCAAAGTCAGCAGCAAGTTATCAATGATTACCTGTACAGAGAAGGTTAAGCAAAGTCAACAGCATGTTATCAATGATTACCTGTACAGAGAAGGTTAAGCAAAGTCAACAGCAAGTTATCAATGATTACCTGTACAGAGAAGGTTAAGCCAAAACAGCAGCAAGTTATCAATGATTACCTGCACAGAGAAGGTTAAGCCAAAACAGCAGCAAGTTATCAATGATTACCTGTACAGAGAAGGTTAAGCAAAGTCAACAGCAAGTTATCAATAATTACCTGTACAGAGAAGGTTAAGCAAAGTCAACAGCAAGTTATCAATAATTACCTGTACAGAGAAGGTTAAGCAAAGTCAGCAGCAAGTTATCAATGATTACCTGTACAGAGAAGGTTAAGCAAAGTCAACAGGAAGTTATCAATGATTACCTGTACAGAGAAGGTTAAGCAAAGTCAGCAGCAAGTTATCAATAATTCCCAAAGGGGTCAGCAGGATGACACGCGCAGCACTGCCGGCTATTGCTGCTGCTTCCGGCAAGTTGACCGGATAGGTGACCACAAATATTTGAACGCCCTCTTTCCTCAAATGTGTTGCTTCTCTTATGGCTGTCAATGAGAGGTCTAGTTTTACAAATACGTTCAAGAACTAAATAACACATTCATTCATCAATAAATAATATGTTCAAGTACTGAATAACACATTCATTCATCAATTAAAAATACGTTCAAGCACTGAACAACACATCCATTCATCAATTAAAAATACGTTCAAGCACTGAATAACACATCCATTCATCAATTAAAAATACGTTCAAGCACTGAATAACACATTCATTCATTAATTAAAAATACGTTCAAGCACTGAATAACACATTCATTCATTAATTAAAAATACGTTCAAGCACTGAATAACACACTCATTCATTAATTAAAAATACATTCAAGCACTGAATAACACATTCATTCATTAATTAAAAATACGTTCAAGCACTGAATAACACATTCATTCATT